TGTATGATAAGGAGAATTGGAGCACAGGGCATTTGTAGGGGAACAAGTTCTGCATGACCATGTGATCCTGGCCATGGGACAGCATGCATTTGTCAACTACGATGGGGTGCGCAACACAGACGGTGAACCCCGATGTGCACTATAACCAGTTGCTGAGTCCAGGTGCCGCTCCTGTATCGGAATGGCGCTGCACTGCACAGGGTTTCCATTGGCTGATTTATCAGAACTCACTCACCAGGTCTGTCTTTCAAGCCCCTCTGGGTGTATTCCAACCTCCAACCTTTAGATTAGCTGCTGAACATGTAACTGTATTACCAAAGGACTAAGATGCAACGTGATATTGAAAAGCTGTCAAGTTGAGTCCACTCGTGGGAACCCCCCATGTCTCAGGTAGAACTGGACCCCACAGGGTTTCCAGAGGCTGAGGTTTCTGGAAGTACATGGTCAGATCTTTCTTCCGAGGCACCTGTGGTTGAACTCGAAGGTCCAACCTCTGGTTGGCAGCTGAATGTGATCACTGTTTGCATCACACAGGACGCTACTCGGACGTCTCCTGCCTATTTCACCTGTGAATCCCTGCGGTTGCTGATGGCCCACCTGCTTTTATGCTCCACACAGAGGTTTGTTCTACTCCGTGAGGTTCTTTTTTATTATCAGTTGCTGTGGCGTCCACTCAGGCTTGTGGTGCCGCCACGTGGGTTGGACCAGAACCGTGTTCCACAGGGTTTTCTATGCGTGGTTTTTCAGAAGTAGATTGACAGGTCTTTTTTTTTTTTTTTTTTTCTGAGGCAGCTGGAGGTGGACTCAAACCTCTAACCTTTTAGTTAGCAGCAGAGTGTGTTCATTGTTTGTGCCAGCCCAGGACTCCTTTAGAGTAAGTTCAGGAGGTATTTGCTGGAAAGCCCTCCAGAGCTGGGCTTGTAGTCAGCATGAGCACATCACCACGATATTTAAGATGGGTCTCCCCAAATTGCTTGTAAAGTGGACCTGGAAAGGCACAGGTTAAAACCACCAAGCGTGGAAAAACCAAACCCACAGC